CTCTGATTCCTGTTTCTTGGCCCCACAACTCTCTGGGAGCTCAGAAGCTCTGAGTTTCTGCCATTGGCAACTTCAGGTTTGCATGAGGATCAGTGTCTGGGCTTTGTTTCTTTAAAGCAAGAGAAGCTGCTGCGGCTCCTTCTCCCTCTCCCTTGAACACACTCAGTGTGTCCCCTTCCCCCTGAACACACTCAGTGTGTCCCCTTCCCCCTGAACACACTCAGTGTGTCCCCTTTCCCCTGACACACTCAGTGTGCCCCCTTCTCTCAAACACACTCAGTGTTTCCCCTTCTCTCAAACACACTCAGTGTGCCCCCATCCCCCTGAACACACTCAGTGTGTCCCCTTCCCCTTGAACACACTCAGTGTTCCCCTTCCCCCTGAACACACTCAGTGTGTCCCCTTTCCCCTGAACACACACAGTGTATCCCCTTCTCCTGAACACACCCAGTGTGCCCCCTTCCCCCTGAACACACTCAGTGTGTCCCTTCCCCCGACACACACTGTGTGCCCCCTTTTGGGAATTACCTCCCTATCACTTTTCTTTCTATCACTCTGATGAGAAGCTAATGTGCTAAGATAGTGATTCATTTTCTTACTTTTTACTTTGTTTTGTTTTCCAAGACGGAGTTGCTCCGTGTAGTCCTGTCTCTCCTGGAACTTGCTATGTCGACCAGTCTGCCATCGAACTCACAGAGATCTACTTGCCCCTGCCTCCTGAGTGCTGGAATTAAAGATGTGTGCCTCCACTGCTGGACCATTTTTTCCATGATTCCTAAACACATTTATTTGTCTGTATTTGTCATAGTATTCTTGTGGAAGCCAGAGGCCCACTTCTTAGGAGTCATTGCTCTCCTTCATCGTGTGGGTTCTGGGGATGGAACTCGGGTCATCAGCTTGGAGACAAGCCCTTCCATCCACTGAGCCATCTCAATGGCCATTACTGCTCATGTTCTTGTGTATTTGTGGTTTTATAATAGGACCATGCTCTCTATAATGATCCAGGGATTCTGTTTCACTGAATTATACGCCTCTGAGACCTTTCCAGGCTTGGGGCCTAATCTACCTCCTTCTTCTAAAAAGGCTATTCCTTTCTCCATCGGAACACACAGAATGCCGACCCTTCCCACATTGTGATGACAAGCGGGCATTCCTATGTCATCTGCATCCACGAGGGGACATTGCTGGAGTGGATCCCGGGGTGCTAGGCTACTGGGTCTCCCTGGAGTTTAAATTGTACGAGAGAGTGCCTCATGTGCTTCTGAGAAAGCCTCTAGAACGAGATGGCCTCTAAAACTGTGGTCCAGGTCAGCAAGCAGGTGAAGGCCGTTGCTGCCGGGACTGAAGACCGGACTTCCATCCCAGGACCCACTGATAGAAGGAAAAGACCAACTAAGGTAGCTGTCCTCTGACCTCGACATGCACATAAAGAGTCCCTCCCACATAAAGAACTGCAACACATTTCTAGAGCCTGCTCCTTGAGCATTTCTTTGGCCTCTGTGGGGGAAAGGGGTGATGGTCTCACGCAACACTTTTCATCTCCATGGTCTGTAAAATGGGAAGCCTGAGGGTGCTCTGTGAATGGCAAAGTTCTGCTGAAAGGAGACAGCCTAAAGTGTCACTGATGTCTGGAGGCAGCTGAACCTCCCTCCCATCAGGAAGACACCACAGCGAAGGACTGCTGCAATAGTGAGGCGGTCAGCTCAAACATCAGCCATGTCTGACGTCACACGAGGCCACTCATTCTCAATGCGGGAGGAGGAGGAGGATCTGATTAACTGGAGGTACATGTGTGCACGCATGTGTGTGTGTGTGTGGTGTATATGTGCACTTGTGTGTGTGTGGTGTACATGTGCACTTGTATGTGTGTATGTGTGTGTGGTGTATATGTGCACTTGTGTGTGTGTGTGGTTGTGCTCACTCGTGCACACATGTGTAGAGGCCAGGCTTCTCACAGCTACTCACTTTAGTCTCTGTGACAGGGTCTCTCATTGAACCTGGAACGCATCTTTTTCACCGAGACTAGCTGACTAGGGATTTACCTGTCTCCACCCTCTAGCTGTCTAGCCTGGCTTTTATGTGAGTTCTCAGGGTTCAACTCATGCTTACACACCAGACATTGTACCCACTAAGCCACCTCCCTATCCTACCAGGGGATATTTTCCATCAACTGAGGCAGTGTTGCTGGCTTCTAGTGTACAAAGCACACCGAAGGAGATAAAGCTCACAGCTGAGAATCACTCAACTTAAAATGCCAGTGGTGCTGAGAATCGGAAACCTCGATCCAGGCTGTCTCACCTGATGCGCACCCCCACAGGCTGAGGACAAAGAACTGAGGCTCAGAGAAGTCATTGATATGCTCATGCTCCCCCAGAAGTAGCCAATGAATGGCTGACCCTAGGTTCCACTGGCTTTATTTAAGGTCTGTGGTCCATTCCATACGCGGATCCATTTCCCTAAATGCTCACTTGTCTCCGATGGCCCCCGTTTGTCTGTTGCCTTTGTCCTGTCTGCAACGGAGGTTCCCAGGCACATCCAGAGGTATCACTGCCACGTTCTACCAGTTTGAGTTGACCTTGCAGTTGAAATTGTGACCACTCCTTTGAGGATCAAAATATTTTACCCAAAGGATAAACAACAGAGAGAGAAGGGCTTTCCCAAAGGTCAATGGACACAGCTCAGTCGTTTAGCTTACCCAACATGGATTAAACCCTTTGCTCCAGTCAGCATTGCAAGGAAACTGGGTAAGACCCTAGCATTCAGGTGGGGCAGAAGGATCAGGAGTTCAAGGTCATCTTCTTCTAGCCTGTCCTACCTGAGACTGCCAAGGAAGGAAGAAAAGAAGAAAAAAAGAAAAAAGGAAAATAATCTTCCCAAGATTACATACCGAGTAGCAGGTGGAAGCCAATACTCTCACCTCTGCCCTTTCACCTTGAACTCTGCTCTTGGCTCTCCCTTGAAGTCAGACAGCAACCCTCCAGCTGAGGGAAGAATAGAGAGCTGCTACCTCAGACTCTCCCATCTACCACTGCTCACCTCTCTGAAGGGTCTCAGAGAACCACCCATGTGCCAGGAAAGGGTGTAGGACTCTGAGTAGGGGCAAGCCATTACTACAGAGGATGGGAACCAGAGAGAATGAGCAGGGACAGCGAGGAAAGGGGTGCAACTTCCTCAGGCACCCTTCCTGAGGGTGCAGCTGCGGTCTGCACAGTGGCCTTGGCTCTAGCATATTGTAACTGATAACACCCTCCTGCTGAGTTGGTCTTGATTTCAGCACGCTAAGTTTGGCAGCAGGTGCAAGGCACAAATCCGTAAGACCCCAGGAACGGCTTCCATGAGGAGCCCGTGGAGTGGTGACAGGCATTCCACAAGCTCTGATCCTTCTGAGCTGCCTTTCTCAGTGTTTTTGCTACAGACATGGGGACTGTACACATAAAGACTGGAGCTAGTGCTGGGGAGCCCCAGGGACCCTGTGGGAGCTTTGCTGGTTTTGTCAGTGACCTGCTGGGTGACCTTGAGAGAGTCCCTTTCTCTCTGTGTGCCTCAGTTTGTTCACCTACCAAACAAACAGTCAGTCTTAATCCAGGTAGTCTTTCACATTTTAGGACTGCAGCCAGGGCCATTTGTCCCTCTCAGAGTTGACCCCTGGCCTCCTGGAAACAGATTTCTCCCCATTCTGTATCACCATGCCCAGATCCAGAAACAAGCCAGTTCATTGCTTTACCATCTCCTGATCTGCCACCGCCAAACTAGGTTATTGTGAGGGAGCCATACAGCTAAGCCAACACTGTCTCCAGACCAATGGACAAGCCCAGCAGCATCCTTTTCTTGGCCTAAGGCCCAGGGAATTCCATCAGGTAACAGCCACTGGAGTTGATGGGGCAGCCCCGGAAGCAAACAGGGGACCCTTGGAGTGGGCCTACAGTCTTCTCTATGTTGATGCCCCTTTGTTCAGGAGTGGAGAGACCTGCCTCTGGAGGGTATCCCCGAGTAACATCCCTATCTGTTTGTGCTGATGGAGGTGGTGGTGGTAGGGGTGCCTACTGGGTCTGCAATGAGAGGCCATCTGTGTTCTTAAGAGTTTGAGGGTTCCTGAAAAGAGCTCCAGGCCTGGGATAGTTTCAAGGGCCTCAGTTTTATGAAGCCTCTTCTGGTCTTTAGTCATTGGGTTGAGGAAGGTTGAAGGAATTGATGATCAGGAGGGACCAGGAGGTGTGGGAGTGGAGTTGGAATGGGGTGGGAAAAAATGGGAGGGTAGCAGTGTTAATAGGGTGGGATTTAGGCAAAAAGATGACGGAGGATGGATCACTTGGCCAGGAATGTGTATTTGGGGTAAAATGCCTGTTTGAGGTGTAAAAGTCTCTCCCCTTCCACTGAAATGAGACCCCTAAAACCTTTTTTGTGGAGGGGGACAAGTGGTCTCTCCTACGGGTGGGGAAGGGTCTTCATAGGGATAGAAGAGAATTCATTTGTCTTCAGAAATCATAACCTAGCTCCTGGGGTACGCATGCAGGTGATTTAGCCCGGGATGTCCTTGTTGAAGGGAGGGTCTGTTTTCCAGGACTTTCACAGTCGGGGAGGGAGAGGACCCTTCAATATGAGCTATGACCTCAACATCCCAAGGAGACAGGAATGGAAGAGAAGCAAGAGACCCTAACTTAGTTTCTTAGGAATGGGAGGAGATGGTAGAGGATCTAGATATCTGGGGAGGCAGGACTCCACTTGAGGGAGCAGCATTCTATTCCAAGGGTTAAACAGGGGAGGGATTTTCTCCTCCAGTCAGCGACCAGGACGAACGGCCCCATTTCTGAAGGTTACACGAAGCTGTCTTGCTTCCTGGGGCCTGGGGAGTGGGAGACCCTTTTCTTTCGGAGCAGGAGCCCGCGTCCTGGTCGGATGGAGGGCCCAGATTCTAGAAGAAGATGCCGGACTCTGGCTTCCCGGGTGCAGGGCTTCCCTTGGAAGGGTCGGCCACGCGCGCCCGGACGCGTCACTCTTACCTCCAGGCCCCGGCCGCGATCTACAGGCTGCGATCCGCGGGTCCGACTAGCGCGATCACCTTCTGATGCTCCGGGCTGCTCTAGGCGTCTGCTCGGTTTCCCCCAGCGACTCGCCAGGCTCCCAAGCTCCGCCGAGGCGGCCCGGCCAATCAGCACCGCCACCTCCAGGCCTTGCTTGAGCAACAACCAATGGGAGCGCCCGCCATGGGCCACCGCCCCCGGGGGGGGGGAGGGAGAAGGCGGGGAGGGGGCAGAGTCCGACCTCCGCGGGTAGGATGCGCCTGGGGGTCTCGGAGGAGGGCTGCGAGGGCCGGAGCCAGGGGCTGGGGGAGAGACAGCCGTAGGGTCCCCCCCGCCCCCGGCAAGTCTGATGGAGGTTAGGTTCCTTACAGGCGGGGGGCGGCTTTGCAGACTAATTTAACGTGAATTTTCATTGTACCCCCGCCTCACATCACGGTTTTAAGATCCTGGGGGCTGCTGGTGAATGTAGCTGCCCCACCCCCTCCTCCCAGTGCTGCGCCTCTGGTCTCTGGAACCTGAGAATCCGGGCCCTGAAACAGAGGGAGGGCTGAAGTACCTGTCGGCGGTGCCCTCAGCCTCTGTGCCACCTCTGGTCTATCAGTGGTGCACCCCAGGGCAATGAGAAGAGCGCTAAACCTGGGAGTCAGGCCCAGGGCAGGTCTCTTCCTGTCCCCTTCCGTATTGGCTGCATCTCTTATAGGTGTTCAGAAAATTGAAAATTCAGTGTGAAAACTAGTTAAAACGGAGATGAGTGATAGTCCCATACCTTTTCTCTCATAAAAAATAAGATTTATTTTATTTTAGTTATCTGTTTGTCTGTGTATGTCTGTATGGGTACTCGAGGAGGCCATTGGAGGTCCTGGGATTCCCTGGAACTGGAGTTGCAGAGGGTTAAGAACTGACAGAGTTAGGTGCTGGGAAAGGAACTTGGCTCTTGCCAGAGCAGTAAGGACTCTTAACTGCTGGGCCAACTCCACCCCCTTCTCTCTTTCTTGCTTTCTTTCTTTCTTTCTTTCTTTCTTTCTTTCTTTCTTTCTTTCTTTCTTTCTTTCTTGTTTCATCTATCTATCATCTATCTATCTATCTATCTATCTATCTATCTATCTATCTATCTATCTATCTATCTATCTATTAAACAGGGTCTCTCTACATAGCCCTGTCTGTCCTGGAACCCACTATGTAGACCATTCTGGCCTCCCTTCAACTCACAGAGATCTGCTCACCTCTCTGTCCCCAGTGCTGGGATTAAAGGCTTGTACCATCATACCTACCACACCCCTCCCTCCACCCCCATCCTGGAATTTGCTCTGAAGAACAGAAACTCACAGAAATCCTCCTGCCTCTACTTCGATGGGCTTGAAGAAGCTGTGCTACCATGCTTGCCCCCCCTTTTTTTTAAGGGAGGGAGGATCTATTTTCCTTCGGAGTTTGATGGGATGATGTGTGCTTAGAGGACAGTTGCTTGGTCACTTCTTATGGTCCTACAACTTTCTACAGTTAACTGGACAGAGGGTACAACCAGGCAATGAAATCAAAGGCCATCTCTAAGCTTGTCTCAGGCAACTGTGTCCTGGCCTCATCCTCTCTTGGAGAGAGAGCCTAGAGGTCCCTCTTAACTTGATTCCATGAACCCAAGCAACTTCTTATTAATCCTGGATTGTCAACCTAGAAATAAAGGGATCAAGACAGACATGAAGTAAATGATAAATAAAATGCCTCCAAATAAGCAATCTATTGCAACTCCCAAGAGAAACCAAAAGAAACAATGACTAGAATCATTGAGAGGAGCAGAAGGAAGAAAGTCCTGGTCCTTAGTCCCTTAGGAACCCAGAAGGCCCAGCCAGTTGCTTTGGTATGCTAATCCTGTCACTTTGCTGGAGGAATTTTCTGGAGGCTGTGTTGTAAATCTAGCAATTTTTCCTTAAAAGCCTTCCAATAATCCCTTTATTGCCCAGGACTTGCCCAAAGAAAGCAAATGGCCAATGGATACTTTCCAAAGAAAGGCAGGCTAAAGCAAAATGAGGGAAATTTTTTCACCACCCCCCAAGATGGCTCTGCCCTCATCAGTATCTGTGAGCTTTCCAGGAATTGCAGTCTCATGGATTGCTCATTCAGCCCATCTCAGTCTTTCTTGAGCAAAATTGGATATTTCTACTTTAAAAACCCTTATGGGTGCGGTGACACAGGCATTTAATCCCAGCACTGTCAACAACAAAAGAACTGTTGGAAGTTTGAGACCAGGCTGCGTTGTACTGTTGACAAACTGCAGCAAATGGCAACTTGAAAAACAAATAAAATTAGAATAATTCATAATTTCAATGTGCAGGGACATCTATTTCTGCTAATGAGTATTATTTACCCACTCTGTCTCTTAGCTACCCATTTTATGTTTGTCAGGGTTTTTTTCAAGTAAGCAGCAGAGGGTGATGGTTGAGACAGTCCCAGAGTCTTACATTATAGCCCATGCTGATCTAGAATTTGATAAATAGCCCAAGCTGGCCTCAGACTCTTGACAATCCTCCTGCCTCAGATTCCTGGGTGCTAGACATCTCATGTATCTCAGGCTGGCCTCAAACTTGATTTTAGACAATGATGACCTTGGATTTCTGATCCTCTACCTGCCTTACGAGTTCTGAAATTATAGGCATGAGCTGTAAGATTTTATTTTACTTTACTTTGCGATAGGGCCTCACTATTTAACCCTGGCTGCCCTGAAACTCACTCCATAGACCAGTTTGGCCTGAACTCACAGATCCACCTGCCTCTGCCTCCCCAGTTCTGGGCTTAAAGAGCTGGGCCACTATACCTGGCTCAGGATTGCTGATTCAGCTTCTTGAGTGCTGGGGTTACCAGCATATGCTACCAGGCCTCCCTTTACTAATTCCTAAATATTATATAATGTTACACACACACACACATACACCACACACCATACCACACACACACCACACCACACACACAGCACACCACATGCATGCACCACATGCACCACACACCACACGCACCACACACCACACCACCACAGACACACCACACACACACACACCACACACACACCACACACACACCACACACACCACACACACACCACACACACACCACACCACACACACCACACACACCACACCACACACACCACACACACCACACCACACACACCACACACACACCACATACACCTCACATACCACACCACACACCACACCACACACCACACACACACACCACACCACACACACCACACCACACACACCACACCACACATACACCACATCAAACACATACACACCACACCAAACACACACACCACACCTCACACATACCACACACACACACACCACACCACACATACACCATACCACACACACACCAAACATACCACACACACACACACACCTTCCTCTGCTAAGAAAAATAATTAAAACTTTAAAAACAGAAACAGAAAAGCGAACATCTAAGCCTAGATTGGCAAACTAGCTCATGGGCCAAATGCGGCAAGAACTATTTATTTTAGACAGAGTCTCAGTGTGTAGTTAGTCCAGGTTGGCCTTGAACTCCTGTTCCTCCTCTCTCAGATTGCTTAGTGCTGGAATTAGAGGCCCAGGACTCATCTGTTCTTGGATGAAATTGAACTAAACCTAGGTTTTATATTTTAAATTTAAAATTTTAAATGGAGAAAAATCTGAAAAAAAAAAAACCATGAAAACAATACGAAAAGAACTTTTCAGTGAGCAGGAGTAGAGTTTTACACAGCTGCCCAGATTTACTTCCCCGTGGTTGGTGGCACTGTCGTGGCAGAGCTGAGCAGCTACAATGTACTTTTGCTAGAGAAAGTTCGCCTCCTCCCGAGCAGAGGCCTCAGAGGATTGGCCCGTGGCTTTAGTCTTCATTCAGCTATGTCTGAAGGCACCGTGGCTCCCACCTTAGGGATCCTAAGTGTAACGGCGTAAGCGAATGCAGACAGATTGTCAAAATATAGACAGCTTTAATGGAGGAATAGACTTACAGAACCACTGTTCCCGCGGAGACCAGGAAAGCAGAAGAGAGCGCTGGGAGCACGCTCACCAATTTTATAGGAGAACTTTAGCCTGAGGCGAACACGCCCCCTAAGGGGTGGGACTTATCCCTACA